TTTCTCCTTTTCATTAATAAATATGGAAAGCTGGAAATTTGGAGAGTTCTGTTTGTTGTGTTTAATGCTATTTACAGAGATATTTAAGCATATTGGTAAGAAAGGTAACAATTGAATTTCAAAGTTAGATAATGTAGTGTATGTAAATAGTCTCTCTCCTCTTGACTCTTTCACTTTTTTTTTTTCTCTTTTTCTCTTCTTTTGCATTTTTGGATTTCAAAATTTGAAACTTTTGTGAGTTGCTTTGGAGCAATAATGTCTCGGAAATCCCATATATTCACTCTCCAAATAGGTCTATAATCGAATCCGAAGCTCACAACCAAAGTGCCAAAAAAAAAAACAAAAAAAAAACAAAGTGCCTTGATTAAGTAAATATAGTACTACTAGATTATAGTTCAAATTGTAACTTTTTGAGATTAAAAATGTTTTTTTGTTTTTGGTTTCAGATTCAATGGGTTGTATTTCTTGAGGAGGATGAGAGGGAAGAAGATAATGTTCGTTGGAGATTCACTAAGCACTAACATGTGGCAATCTCTAGCTTGTCTAATTCACTCTTGGGTTCCTAACACTCGTTACACTCTTCTTCGCCAAAAGGGTCTCGCTTCACTTACCTTTGAGGTTTGTTCTTTCATTTTATCTTATTAATTTAAAACTAGCTAGTGACCTTTTCCCACTCAAATAAGTATAGATATTTATTGAGTTATGATTTTTCAATAGAAATTAAGTGTGTTTTTTTAGCTTTATAGTGTGGAAAGTGTGATAAAAAGTCTTGATTTATTTTATTAACGCTTAGTGATAATTAATAAGATAAAGTTAACTTAAGAAAAGGGATAAAGTGTTTTTTGGTTTGTCTCATTTGATTTGATGTAAAGATAATGCTTTGCGATATAAGTAATTTATTGCAAATGATGTTATAAAAATAGAATTATGACAAGAGAATGAGAGAGCATTTAAGAGATGAACGTGATTAGTGGCCTATTTCCCAAAAAAGAGAATCTTCCGGAATATCATGTCATGTTATAAACTTTATGATCATGAGCCACACAAAAAGAGATTCGTTTTTTCTTTTGTTTTCCCATGATATATATATTTTGAGATAAAAAAGCACATGGCCAGTTAATATATACACATGTATATAAATTTATCTAGTGAACTACTAAATTTGGGTTTTGTAATGGGTACGGACGCAGGAATACGGAGTGACGTTGTTGCTATACAGAACACAGTTCTTAGTAGATTTGAATGTGGAGAAAGTTGGGAGAGTGCTTAAGCTAGATTCCATTAAGCAAGGCAACATGTGGAGAGGCATGGACGTTTTGATTTTCAACTCGTGGCATTGGTGGACACACACCGAACACATTCAGCCGTACGTTGTCTTTCTTTGTTTGGTTCTGTCTTTTTTGAATACTTTGACTAATCTGATGACGTGCGTGTGTTTGCAGGTGGGATTACATGGAAGATGGAAATAGATTGTACAAAGACATGAACCGGCTCGTTGCTTTTTACAAAGGAATGACCACTTGGGCTCGATGGGTTAATACTTACGTCGATCCTTCTAAGACTAAAGTCTTCTTCAATGGCGTGTCTCCTACTCATTACGAGTAAACATACTTCCTTTAATCTAATCTCATTGTTCTCTATAGACTATAAGTCGGTTTAATTGTGTCAAATTGAGCAAGGACTATGTTGTTAACTTGTATGTTAATCCTAGTCATTACTTCACTTATATGTTAGTAAGGTTGATTGGATATTGTTATGCAGGGGAAAGGATTGGGGAGAGCCAATGAACTCATGTAGGAGTCAAACGCAGCCATTTTACGGGAGGAAGTATCCAGGAGGGACACCAATGGCTTGGGTAGTTTTAAACAAAGTGATGAGGAGATTGAAGAAACCGGTCCATTGGCTAGATATAACCGGTCTGTCTCAGCTTCGTAAAGATGGTCATCCTTCTGCTTTCAGTGGGAACCATCCTGGTAACGACTGCAGCCATTGGTGTCTTCCTGGTTTGCCTGATACTTGGAACTTGCTCTTTTACTCTACTCTTTTCTCTTACTAATTCTTGTTATCTTTCTCATCAATGTATAAGTTAACTTAAAGCAACAATCAATTATTTTTAGTTATCTTTTCATTGTGGTCGCTTGATTCTTGACTGAAATAACTCTTTAATAAGACCAACGCACTTGACTCTGTGAAAGGAGAAAATATGTCAAGAAAAGATTAAAATTTCCATGTAATTAGTATAATGGGCTAGAGTAATTTAGATATATTGGGCCTCGTAGAGATGAATGGGCGGGCCTGAAGAAGCCCAGATGCGATGAAGTGTTCGGCTGTTCGCAGTTGAGATAAAAACATCAGAGGCAAAAGTGCACCGGAAAGTCTCCACGTGTACATGTACGGAAAGATACGTGGAGGAAACAAAGATTATTGGCTCAATAAAATTGAACTGATCTCTTCTCACAAGCTGAGTCATCGTGCCTCTCCTACACGTTTCAATAGTAAACTCAACACGTCACAAACCTTTCCCCAATCTTCATGACCGCCCAAATTTCTGTCTTTTCGGTTCTTTGTTTATAAAGAGGAATTAAACAGGTCGATAAGAATCAACAGAGATAAAGAAAACAAAAAGAAAGAATTATCAAATTATCATTTTAAAGTATCTTGGGAAGTGATTGTTAGCATTAACAATGGCGTCGGAGCAAGCAAAGAGAGAGAACAAGGTGACGGAGAGAGAAGTTCAGGTGGAGAAAGACAGAGTTCCGAAGATGACGAGTCATTTCGAGTCCATGGCCGAAAAAGGCAAAGATTTCGACACACAGAGGCATCAAACAGAAGGTGGTGGGACACAGTTCGTGTCACTTTCAGACAAGGGGAGTAACATGTCGGTTTCTAATGAAGGAGAGGGAGAGACGAAGATGAAGAGGACTCAGATGCCTCACTCCGTCGGTAAATTCGTTACGAGCAGCGAATCAGGACCGGGGAAGAAGAAGGATGAGAAGGAGCATGAGAAGGCGTCGCTAGAGGACATTCATGGATATAGAGCCAATGCTCAGCAGAAATCAATGGATACTATAAGAGCAGCAGAGGAAAGATATAACAAGGCTAAGGAGAGTTTGAGCCATGGTGGACAAGAAGGTCGAGGGGGACAAATGGAGGGTAAAGGGCGAGACAGTGGTGTCCGTGTTTCTCACGTTGGGGCTGTTGGTGGTGACGGAGGAGGCGCTGCTGTCTTTGGACATGAATCTCGTGGCAAAGAAGAGGAAGGAAAAGAGAGTGGTGTTCATGGCTTTCATGGGGAGAAAGCACGACATGCTGAGCTTTTGGCTGCCGGAGGTGAGGAGATGAGAGAACGTGAAGGTAAAGAATCAGCCGGTGGTGTTGGTGGTCGGAGTGTAAAAGATACGGTGGCCGAGAAAGGACGGCAAGCTAAGGAAAGTGTTGGACAAGGTGCTCAGAAAGCCGGAAGCGCTGCCAGTGAGAAAACTCAGAGAGCTTCGGGTTACTTGACGGAGAAGGCAAGGGAAACTGGAGACGTGGCGGCTCAGAAAGGACAGGAGGCAAAGGAACAGGCTGCGAGAGCTAAAGAATACACTGTTAAGAAAGCAGCTGAAGCTAAAGATATGGCGGCCGAGAAAGCTCAGAGAGCTTCTGAGTATGCAACAGAGAAAGGAAAAGAAGCTGGAAATGTGACAGCTGAACAGGCGGCAAGAGCAAAAGACTATGCTCTGCAGAAAGCTGTTGAAGCTAAAGAGACTGCGGCGGAGAAAGCTCAGAGAGCTTCCGAGTATATGAAGGAAACAGGAAGCACCGCGGCTGAACAGGCTGCGAGAGCAAAAGACTACACTTTGCAGAAAGCTGTGGAAGCTAAAGATGTTGCAGCTGAGAAAGCTCAGAGAGCTTCAGAATATATGACTGAGACAGGAAAACAAGCCGGAAATGTTGCAGCTCAGAAAGGACAAGAGGCGGCTTCAATGACAGCAAAAGCTAAAGATTACACTGTTCAGAAAGCCGGTGAAGCAGCTGGGTACATAAAAGAAACGACGGTGGAAGGAGGAAAAGGAGCTGCACATTATGCCGGAGTGGCCGCTGAGAAAGCCGCTGCGGTTGGGTGGACAGCGGCACATTTCACCACGGAGAAAGTGGTGCAAGGGACAAAAGCGGTTGCCGGTACAGTGGAAGGTGCGGTGGGGTATGCAGGGCATAAGGCTGTGGAAGTAGGATCTAAGGCAGTGGATTTGACTAAGGAGAAAGCTGCAGTGGCTGCTGATACGGTGGTCGGGTATACGGCGAGGAAGAAAGAGGAAGCTCAACACAGAGACCAAGAGATGCATCAGGTATTGCACAACTTGTAGTAAAGCTAGATCATTGTAGCTCATTTTAGTATGATGATGTTTCGTGTAGCTCAAGAAACTGTGTGTTTTGGATTTGTTTTGAGGGAGGTGAGGAAGAGAAGCGACCAGGGTTTGTTACAGAAGCAAAGAGAGGCTATGGAGAAGAGTACGGAGAAGAAAGAGGGAGTGAGAAAGATGTCTATGGCTATGGACCAAAAGGCACGGCCGGAGAAGCGAGGAGAGACGTTGGAGAGGCGGAGTACGGAGGAGGAAGGGGGAGTGAGAAAGATGTCTTCGGATATGGATCAAAAGGCACGGTCGGAGAATCGAGGAGACACGTTGGAGAGGAATACGGAGGAGGAAGAGGCAGTGAGAGATATGTCGAAGAAGAAGGGGTTGGAGCGGGAGGGGTGCTTGGGGCAATCGGCGAGACTATAGCTGAGATTGCACAGACGACAAAGAACATAGTGATTGGTGATGATCCTGTGAGGACACATGAACATGGAACTACTGATCCTGACTATATGAGACATGTACAAGGACAACGTTGAAAACTAATGTAATGGTGAAATGTTTTGTGGGTTTCTGCTTTTCTTAAAAAGGTCTTTTGTTTTTGTATGTAAATAACAAAGAAGCTCTGTTTCATAGTTCTGGTAAAGAAAAAGCTCTTAAAAGGTTTGAAGAATATATGAGTGGTTTCCTTTGAAGTGAAACTGTACCAACTTTTATCTACTCTTGAAAACTAATTAGATTTAGATCTGTTTCCTTCATGAGCTTGTTTCTGACCAAAAGATCAATAGCAAAACGTAGTGATCCTTCATCTTGTAATATACGTGCGAGACTCATATTACTATATTAGTATTAAAGGACTCTCTCAGGCATTTTAACGAACAACTTGACTACTTAATTATCCCAATGTCCCAAATAGAGAGACCTAAACTTTGTTGCAGACAAAGAAGGGTTGATGATAGGCAAAGCATAGAGAAGTGAGAATGGTTTTTGGTTTTAATAAAGGAATGAGCCTCTCTGCATATATGAGTGTACGCGACGAAGTTATTTAAGCAAAACTGTATTTCATAGACTCATAGTTAATGGTGTAACCCACATTGTGAATTGAGATCTACACTTTGGTATCAACATGTAACTTGATCTACAATTCTAAACTAAGTAACAGAGATGAATTTTCAACACACTATTGAACAGAAACGAAACTAGAAGCTGGAGGCTTCAGAGGCATAATCTTCACTTTCAAGGGCTTGATCTCAACTTTCTTAAACTGTGGGGGCTTTGGTGGAATAATCTTTAACTTCAAGGGCTTCTTCGAAAAATTCGTCGGTTTCTCCGGTGCTAGTTTAATCTTCAACTTCAATGGCGGCAGCGAGAAGCCGGATATCACTTCACCACGCAAGAACCAATGAAACAATAAATCCGAAGCACTTCCTCTCTCCTTAGGGTTCCTTGCAAAACACGTTTCTAGAAACTTCCTTGCATCACACGGTACACTCTCTGGAATCTCCGGCGCTTTACCTTTCAATAGAATAGGCGCAAGATCCTCAAATTCTACCTCCGACCATGGACTCACACCGGTATACATCTCCAGTACTATGCACCCTAACGACCACAAATCTAGGGTTTTCTCAGCCACACCGTTGTGGACTGATTCTGGCGACATGTAAATAGGCGTTCCCACAAACGGTAAATCAACTTCCCAGCAATCCGAATATTCTCCTACTTTTCTCGAAGAACCGAAATCTGAAATCTTCAATTCGTAAGACTGTCTACACGGAAATACAAGTAGATTATCGGGTTTTAGATCGCAATGAACATAACCGAGGCTATGAACAGAGACCAATCCTTGAAGAATCATACGAGTGAAGTCTTTGATCATCGTTTCCGGTAACTTTCTATCTTTGTAACTGTCCATGAAAGTGGTTAAATTCCCTGCCGCTGCGTACTCCATAACAATCTTGTAGACTCGGAATCCGCTGACATCGAAATCCTCTTCTAAAGTATAATTCCCATAGCATTGCACGATTCTTTGACATCCTTTGAGTTTGGATAGAATCTGAATTTCTCTTTGGAGAGAGTCGTAGTCTTCACATTCGGCGGTTTTCACAGCGGCGTATAGCGGCAAAGAGCTGTCGTTGCGTTTGATGTACTTGACGAGATCGACTGATCCGTATGAACCTTTTCCCAAGAACTTCACGAACTCTGTTTTTGGTTGCATCTTCGGAACAACAACAACAAGAGTTATGCTTCGAATCTCTTAGTATCTCTCAAGGTTTTAGGTAACTTTGAGGTGTAAATTTAAAACCCTAGAGAAAACCGAATCTCTTGAAAATTGCAGCGAGAAATATATAGAGAGAGAGAGTTAAAAAGGAAACTATGTTAGCTTTAGGGTTCTTTCAAGTCTGTGACTTTTATATCGGTTAACGTCGGGAGACGGGGAGAGTGTAAGCACGCACCACAATCTACCGTCGTTGTTCACAAGTGATAATAGATCTTGTCCGTTGAGTTTAATTTCTACAATATTAAGTTATTGCATTTTCGATTTCATATTGAATTAGGAGATGTTACTGTCCGTCAGATTCTCGTTTCCAAATTTTTATTATTATAAGGAAATACATCAGAGAGAAAAGTATTACGATACGACGACTGACCTTTAAAATCACTTTAAAAATCTTTCCATTTTTTCGTTATACATAATCTTTTTTGCTAACTAAAAAATCCAAGCCTATATCCATAATCTTTTTGGACTGTAGACTAATCTATATACAAATGCTGACCCTAATTAATAATACTGGCATTAATCCATATATTACAGCTTAAAGGCTCAACATATATGTAAATACTGCAACAAATTTCTTCAAAGAAAAATGTAGAAATAGTTATATCCTGAGATCTACATTTTATTGCATCCACATGCATGTCACTTGCTCTGTGTTATTGTAGCCTTTCTTGTGCTTACCGTTTCTATCCCGTTGTTGTTGATGGGCTGTTGGTTTTAGTATGGTGCTGCCCAGCCTTGGCTCTCCTTTTCGCCCCTTGTCTCCTCGTCTTTGATCATTGGTTTCTGTTGCCTGTTGGGTTCGCTTCCTTACTAAGCAGAGGCTTTGTTTTGATTGAATGTTGTGATAGTCTTTTAAGTTTGCAGATGTGTCTTCTCCTTGGTGTTGTTCGCTGTGATTGATAGCCTCTCGTTCTTTCGTCATTCTCATTCTTGAGGTGGTGGTTTTCGAGGGTTTGGGCCTCGCTCCTTGTCCCTGTTTTCCTGAATTTGTTTAGATAGGATCGCTTTTTGAAGAATTCTATCTAGACGGAAAATAGACGCTTTGGTTGTTGTCGTCGCATCCAGAAGCATGTTTGAGTTTCTCTTTGTGGTTTTGCTTGCCGGGTTATGATTCATTGGTTCTTGGTTTTGAGAGATCGGCTCTCTTCTTGATAAGAGGTGGTAGTTGTTATCTTCGGATTGGCCGCGGGCATCCTTGGTAAATCTCATCGCAGGTGCTTCAGAAGAAGAAGTTGTTTTGCCTTGTTTCTCTTAGCTTATAAGTTGTTTTGCTTATGTTCTTAGGTTTTGGTTTCGGCCTCTTTCGATTTTGGCTTGTGAACTTCTGCTATGTATTTGTCATGTTTTTAGTTTCCCTTTCATAAGACCTATTTCCGGGGATTTTCTTTTCGTCCGCCGGCTTAACTTTCTCTCTTTTGGGCGTTGTAATTTTCTTGGTTCCAAAACAAGTTCATTAATAAAAATCTAGATGACAAAAAAAAAAAAAGTTATATCATGAGATCTACATTTTATTGCATCCACATGCATGTCACTTGATCTTTACTAAGTAACAGAGAAGAAATCAGCATACATGCTGAACAGAAACGAAATTGGAATCTAGGTTATCGAGACACATAGATCGTTTGGGCTATTAGTTTTACATTTAGGCTTGCAACCACGTTGGTTCATTTGTGTAGGCTTTTGGTAGATTTGGGCTTGCAAAACCCAAATTAACTTGTTGGCCGACATACATTTGTTTCTATTACAACAACAAACGCAAAAACACATGAAGAAAATGAGAACGACCCTTTAAGTACTGAAAATTGAAAAAAAGAAATATAGAAATGCTAACATGTAAGTTTTTGTTACCCAAAATGCAATTTGTATGTAACCACAATTTCATGGCCGACCTGCTTTTTTTTCTTTCTTTCTGAAAACCGCAAATATGATTACACGTGGCCTGAAAAGAACGTACAGAAACTCGGTAATGTGCAAAAAAATATCTTACTCTTAATACGTGTAATTTTGGATTCTAATTGGTCTAACGATCTATAAAACGATACTATTGGAGATCAGATTCTTCTCATCTCACTTTGTTCATCTAAAAACTCCTCCTTTTATTTCTTTTGCTCCCAAACAAACTTTTTTTTCCCCACATCTTAAAGATCTCTCTCATGGCGATGTCTTTCTCAGGAGCTGTTCTCAGTGGCATGGGTTCTTCTTTCCACAGCGGAGCCAAGCAGAGCGTTACTGGCGCTGTCAGAGTCGGCCAGAAAACTCAGTTCGTCGTCGTTTCTCAGCGCAAGAAGTCGTTGATCTACGCCGCTAAAAGTGACGGCAACATCCTCGATGACCTCAACCAGGCCACGTAAGTCTAAATTCTTTCTTATTTTAATATCTTGCCTCGTAAGTAATTAAGGATGTTAGTAATCAATGTTTATGGTATATTATATAGATTTTATTGGAAACATGTTATTTTCGAGCTAATTTTATGATTATATTTTACTATCATTAAAGATGAAGATTCATATATACCATAAACATTATCCGATCCGTTCTATTTTTCTAGTTTACATGTATAGCCCTAAATACTAAATATACATTTTGTTACATCTTAATTTAAAAATTATACAGAAAGAAAGCTTCAGATTTCGTGACGGATAAAACAAAAGAAGCGTTGGCAGATGGCGAGAAAGCAAAAGACTACGTTGTTGAAAAAACCAGTGAAAACGCAGATACATTGGGTAAAGAATCTGAGAAAGCTTCGGAGTACGTGGAGGAGAAAGGAAAAGAAGCCGCAAACACGGCGGCTGAGCTCGCAGAGGGTAAAGCAGGAGACGCTAAGGATGCCACAAAGTAGGGTCTTAATCAGTTAATTCAAGAACTTAAACTCGTAGATATATGGATCCATATCCTCTCTCTTCATGTTACAATAAGATCAGTCTGTTGTAATTTCTATTAATTCCACACCAACCAATGAATGAATGAAATAAGATATGGTATATTCAGAATAATGGTCCGGCACCAGCAAAATTACAACCACATCTGCCGTCACACATATCATAAATAAGTCTTACTCGCAATTAGATTGTCTTTGTCCGATACAATGACTCTCCCAAATGCCTATTATAGTAAGTGTGAACCTAAATCACAATGTTATTAAATACATATATATAATGCTCAACAATGTTATTAAATATTGAAAAGACCGAATTAAATAGTGAGTAAGTAACATCGTTAATATATAGTCTTTCAACGGCACAAAGGTGAGTCTGACCTTTATAAGGATGTATGCCACAACACTTATAAGGAGCACATTGCATTACTCAAATACCCAACTAATGTGGGACAAATCAAATAAGCTCTTTCGTCGCTGGTTTCAAGCAAGAGTAATCTTTAAGTAAGCCCTCTGTTTATAAATGCTCAATTTCATATTTCTCAAAATTTAATTTCCTTAAAACTTTTTTTGTTTCTAATACTTTTATGAATAAATTACCGGGTTGGCATTATTTCCAACAATAATTACGAGATCAGGACAGTACACCGGTACTTGCGTATTTGACCATTTTTTTATGCTACGAAATGTCTTTTTTGCTCTTTCCAAGAGCTTTTCGTCGTCACTTTGCTAACACCACAATATCACTTCTCTCTTTCTCTAACCTCGAAAATCAAACTACACAAATCCTTTGGATCTGCGATTTTGAAGACGAACCTCTTTTTTTTACCACCGTATAAACTGGTATTCGGAAATAATTATCTTTTGATTTCTTTATTTGATTTCAAAGATTTTTTTTGTTTTTTTCTTCTGTGTTTATGGGATTTCCGGGTTTGTGGCGTTATCGAAGCATGGGCGATTCAAAATCTGCAAGTACTGCAACGATCGGAGGTATCAGAAGCTTCGGGTGGTGAGGTTTATCGACGAATCGCGGAGATTGAAGTATTTGCGTCCATGGTTGTGATGATTCTTTGGGCGATTCCATGGTGTGTGATCCAAATTCAAGACTGGTACCCATTGGTTTCACAAGATCTCTAATCTCACATGTTCGATTCTCTCACTTTCGATTTCAATTTTACAAATTCGAGTTCGATTTTGCATTATCCGATTTACTATATACTATAAAGCAAGCCCTTGGGTTTACTAGATCCCCTTAGGGTTTAGTTTCCTTTATTCAAAACGAAATTAATTGATGTTGTATTGTGGTTGAAAGAAGAATCAAAAGCTTTGGTCATGGAGTAAGCGCTGGTTGTCGTCCAAGAATAATGGAGAAGAAGACACAAA